ATGAGTGTCAAGATAAGAATTGCTACTACTAGCACTCATAAAGTGAGATCAGAGGACTCAGGATATCTTGCAATCTGTTTTGAATATACATTTTAAAAAATATTTTGTCTTTTTAATTTACTATTTTGCTATTTTAAAAGAAGAGTTTGGGTCAAGTAATATTTCTCTTGATCCTTCTTTTATGAGGCAAAGAAATGTCTAACCACAACATTCTTTCTACATCTCTGGCTTTATTTTTATCATATACTTTTTACCAGTACCTTGGATACAGACATGTCTTCTGACCTTCACAGCTTTTAGATGACAAAATCACTTTACATTTTCTGTCTCTGACAGAGTTAAACCTCATCCTCCTAAGCAGCAGAAGTGAAAGTGTTCAAAGCAAAAAGAGTTGAATCATGCTAAAATAGTACTTGTAAAAATTGATTCTATAGCCTATTGTAAAATTACATGATCTTCTAAGTCACTGTGGGCCACCTTAATATTTCATACAGACAGACAGGTTAGAAAGTCAGATGATGAGTGAAAGGATTCTGTAAAATATGAAAGGGAAATTGTTTAGATTTAAACATATATGTTCACAAGAAAAGAGGAGACATGTCACATCAGACAGTTCTTTATTTCTTGATAGATTTTGGAATGATGTCTTATTTCCTGAAGAAGCACCAAAACCATTTAAAAAAGCAGATTTTTAAATGGCTTAGCAGTAATTTGTGAAGACACAAGTACACTTCTTTGGGGAATAAAATGTGTGAATCTAAGTTAATTGATATGGGTGAGTATCCATAGTATTTTGCTAACTTTACTGGACATTAAGTGAAGTTCAGAAAGTAGACGGTATTCATAAAAACACAAATAACAGTCTGAATAACTTCTAGCACTGGGGGGGGGAAAAAAAAAAAGAAAAAAGTAACGTAGGGAAAAGCCCATGTGTTTAATTAATTCCCACATAAAAAAGTAAAAGTCAGATTGAGGGCACTTAAAATCTCTTCCTGGAATTCTCCTTTCCATCCCAGTACTCATATGTTGGTAGAATGAGCACAGTCTAATTTGCTTCTGTCAGGTTTAAAAAAAAAAAACCAAAACCAAAATAAAATAAACCACCAAAATCACAAGTAAAGAAGAAACAAATCTCCAAACCAGTGAGAGTCAAGAAGGAAAAATTTTGTTGTTTCTTGCTCCAGATTGACCTTGCAGTACCAGTAGCTTCAAAATATTTCTGTGAAGTTGTGTTAGCAACTTTCATTATGAAATTAGTAGCAGAAAGCCTCTGTGAAAAGTACAGCATTCTGATACTCTATGGGTTACAAAATCAAATATGCATAACTTTCTGTCATCCTAAGGTGAAAGAAACAAGAAGCGCTCTAATAGTCTCAGTTCTTGACCAACTTTAAAAATCAAAGGCAATGTTTGCACTTAAATATAAACAAGGGCAAGCCCTGCAGCAATGCATAAAACTACTTTGGTGTTTCTCAGCTTTGGGATTTTGACTCTGAAACTATTAGGGCTTTAATTGTTGACAGCTGGATATTTTTTAATGTAAAATAAAAATCCCAGTCCTACACAGTTCATCTCAGTTTATGGATTGACTTTGTAGCCTTAAGCAGCAAATGTTACCAATCTTTTTGCTGTAGTGCTTGCAAAAGTTGAAGTTGGAGGCTAGATAAACACATTGTTTTACACCACTTTATTTATGTTTCCATATGCTCCATATGCTTCCATACACTTTTACAGCATTCATCCATTTCCCATCTGCTCATCTGAAAAGATGAATCAAAAATACCAATACATACTAGACATACAAATCATTATTACTGACTTTGTCTAGCAGTCTTAAAAATGGTAACATTCAGGTGCATACAAATCATCTAATGCTTGTACAGAGAAGCAAACTCCTGTTAAACAGGATTTTTAAAGCTTTTTTCAGAACCAAGGCTTCAATAAGTTTCACTAGACATTTTGACATGAGTGCTAGCCTGCTAGACATTGGGAAGTTCATCTGATACAATACAGAAAATTGCTTTCTACACACACAAATTAAAAGACCTACTTATAACATTTTTATCAGTTAAAAAAGACTATATGACTTAAAATATATGACACCTTGTAACAATTCGAAAAACTGATTCAAATGACAGATAATTGGTAGAGTGCACATACATGGGCTGAATTCCACCACTAGTCTTCAGTGTTGTGGTACTTATTTCAATGGGTTCCTCTTAGACATCAAAGAAACCTCAAAGCCCAAACAAACAAAAAAAACATACTACTCTTGAGCTAGGGGAATCTCTTTGCTGAATTTAATAAAAGGTTACTGAAAAATATCTCACAGCTTACAGGTTCTGTGGTGATTCGCGGAAAAAGACTGTACAACTTGAATAGAGTTATAAAGCAGGTATGTTTACTCCGGCTCCGGGGTGCAAGGGGATCTCTCCACAAAGCTTGCACATGCACCGCACATTTTACCAAAAACTTATAGAGTGTGGATATCCATACTAAGTGGATTACATAACACAAACATACATATGCATGAGTAAGGCTGGGTTAGATAGAAAGGCTGATGTCAAGAGTTTATGTCATCTTTGCACCTGTGCATTGCCTCCTGGTGGTCATCTTCAGTAGTCTTTGGGATGAAGGCTCGTAGTCTTTTTCACTTTGTTTTTTCCCCAGAGCATGCTCAGATTCTCTTGGCCAATTTCTCGAATAACAAGAGTGTTTTTCAGACGGTTTATTTTCTCTTATCTAAGAGAACCAATAGAACTTCTACCATTCATATATGGCTATCTTTACTCATTACCAAAATTCCAACTAGTTAGAGCCACCTGTTACTCAAAGCCAAAAGTATAATGTTTTGCTGAACATTGTAATCCTTGGTAGATTTTCACAGTGAACTGCTTTGTTTTGATGAACACAGTAGTCTTTGGTGAAATTCCACAGAACAGTCCGGGCAAGCAGGATTCCTAGCAATATTTTAAAAAATACTATAACTTGCTATAAGTACGTAAATAAGTTGCTAAGCAGTTTTCTATAAGTAAATAAATCTCAAAACAAGTGATCATTTCTATGTATCAGTACACATCCAAAATTTTTTGAGAATTAACTGATGGCTCATGTTAACCCCATCTAATAGTGCTTGGAGTTGACAGAAGGGAGATATATTGAAACAAATCAAAACATATTTATGCTTATGATAATTATGAGCTGCTTCCTCTCCTTTTTTCTCTTGGAGTCAAGAGTAACTCAGAAAACTGAGTTCAAAGAGGAATATTTTTCCCAAAACAAACTGATTTGACATCAGGGAAGAAAAAAAAAAAAAAAAAAAGGTCAGTCTGAGTCTTTACCTTACCAAGATGCTGGCTGTCAGATCTCATTCATTCTTCAATCATGGGATTATATGGAAAACTGCTATCTATAAATTGACTAGGTATTTGAAAGTACCTGAATCTTCTAAATCTATCTATCTTCCTGGGAGTCCAATAATTTCACCCTTAGGCAAGAAAAAAATGTGATATTTTTTCCTCTCTGAATTTAAATATACATAGGCCAAAGTACACTTAAAAAATTATCCTCCTCCTGGGTTCATCTTTCTCATTTCCTCCTCACTGGGGGCTGAGGCATTAGGTCCTTTCTTCTCTAAATCAAAACGAAGTGTCTCGTACTGACTGAATTAAAGGCTCTGTAAAGGTACGAGGGGAAATCTACTGAGACTCAGAATGTTTGTTGTGAATATTTTTTCAGAAATGACAGCATATCGCAGGCTGAAAGAAAATATCATATTTGGGGGTGTCTTTAAAGCAAAGCATAACAAAAAGCATCTTATTGCCTTCTCTCCCCTTCCCCCTGCAAACACAGCAAAGTTTGACAAGGAAGTATCAGAGAATAGAAAGACTTCTTTATATAGGTAGACTGACAGGTCTGTCAACTCTATTCCCCCTCTTTGTCTCTTGTTATCAAATCAGCCACCTTGGAAGCTTCTTAGATTGTGGCTTGATACAGAGAGCTTCAACATGTTTCAACTTCAGGTATATTTCAGAAGAGTCTTCTGGAATCAGACCCGCCTCTCCTCTGTTCTTCAGTTAAGCAGAGTCTGTTTTCACACCTTCACAAACAAAAAATTTCAGGTTTCACCCAGAAGGCTCAAGGTACTTAATGCTTTAATTTTACTTTACAACAGTATCTTGAAATCCTGCACAGGGTTGGGGCACACATCTCTGAAGAGGAGTACTAAAAGCAGTCTCATGCTTTCAATTTTTATTAAAAAAAAAAAACAAAACAGAAAAAAAAAACCCAAACAAAAAAAAAACACACCCAAAACATAGAAGATCACTTTAGAAAACAGAATATCTCTGATTTATGAAAAAAATATACTGTCTAAGCAGTATGTTTGACTTATTTTGATCAAATACTTTATGGAGAGCTCTCAGAAAGAAAGAAAGAAAGAAAGAAAGGCAATGTCTGAAATTAGCATGGGTGTATTTAGCTCAGCTTTATCTCCAGACTGGCAGCTAACTGTCTGTCAAAAGGTTTTAAGTAAAGTTCTTGATTGTAGGGCAGTCCTCAGTGCATAAATCACAGAAACAGCCACAGATAAGGCACATGATTGGCTATTATCCAGCTGAGAAGAGAAGGTAGACTAATGAATACTGAATCATTTTTTTATCCTCAGGGTGGACGCCCCTGTCAGGGCTGAGTCACTGTGAAAGCAGTATGCTGAAGTGATTTAAAATGCAGCAGCCTCTAGTACTGATGACAGATGGATGTAACTTGGGCATCATACATACTCATTTTTAGGCTTTCACAAGCCATGAGTACAAATACACAAGAAAATGAAGGATAAACTGTGATACAAGTCTCCTGTTCATGCACACTTCAGGAAAGTGTGAAGTGGAGAACTTTTCATAGCCATTTAAAATGACCACAGGGGACTGTCTTCTAGGGTAGTCAAAAGTGCATTTTTTATTCCAAGGTTTCTTTGTTGCTTTTTTTTTTTTTCCTTCCAGAAGACTGCAGAACTTCCTGGAACAAGCTGTGTGTTACCTCTGCATAACGAAATTGCTGAAAATTTGTTCTGATGTGATCATCACCTTACCTAGTCAGCTTGAGGTGTTACAGCATCAGAACTGCAGATATGAAAAGCTTGAGGTACATTCTGATTTTGTCAGATGCATTTTCAATAGACATACATGGTCTTGGTTGAGAGAGAGAGAGAAGATAAAAGGGTAACTTTAGAAGTACCCACCACTCTGAAGGAAAGGATTAAATGAATATTATTAGAGTCTAGGTGAGAAATTATGCAGTAGTTTCCAATTTGTCTGAAAGATACATCTTATGAGCTTGACTCTGACATGAATTATGATTTCTGTTTGTATAATACTAGCTCTTGGTATCAGCAGCTACTCATAAGCCTTGCAAGTAGGGGCTTGTGGTGAGCTCCCAGGGGCATCCTGTGGCACTCAGTGACCAGCTTGGGACCAGCTGAGCAGAGGTGCTAGTTCACATTGCTGCCAGGAGGACTTTCATGAAGGTCCAACTTCTTGCCATCAAAAGTTGCCTTCTCCTGAGCCTTTGAAAAAAGATGTAACTTTGCACAACCCTTTGATCTCTTTATGGTGAACCCTCAATAGCCAAGAAGTGCAAATAATGCCAACTAGGTGCAGTGCAGCCACAGAACATATCCTGTAAGAAACGCTATTAATAAAAAAATGGGTAGCGAAATTTCATATCATACATGCATTAATTCTAGCTACTCAGTCTGTGGAAACCTAAATTGGAAAGCTGCTTGGAAAAAAAATCACATGCCAAAGGGTGACTGAATAGTCACTCGCAGAGTAGCTTTATGAAAACAATAGCTCTAATGCTTGCATGCTGTTCTATGTCATTTAAAGCATTGCTGTTCATTGTAGAAAATGTAACTTTTAAGCTGACCTGTTTTACTTTTGGGGAAGCTAATGCTTGTATTGCAAGGGGGAAGCTGGTTGGTTGTTTTTCATTATGGTATGTGTCACAAATGAGAATGTCAGGAAGGTCTGAAATTTCATCTCATCCAAATCTATTAATGTTAATGTTCTTTTCATTATGATTTCATCAGGATTAATTAATAGAATCTGTGAATAATATGCTGCACATATTTGATATGCAAAACCAAATCAACTGTACAATTTATGTTTCTTTACAGCTGATGCTTCACATATTGACAGTCAGGAGTATAGACTACATGTGTTAGTCTACACCAGCTGTCCATGACTAGCAGTTCATCTTCCTGAGCCATGATGTGCCCTGGATGACAGTGAATCCTAATGCTAGCAGACGACCCTGCTGGAATCAGAGATTTTGCAGTGGACAGACAGCCCAGAAAACATTAGTCTCCTTTTCTTACAAGCTCAGAAGGTTTAGATTATGCTGGTTTAGCTGTATCTTGACTATTGCATTTAAAAATAGTTCAGGATAAACTTACAGGATGTCCAATATTTGTTTTCAATGACTTGTCCAGTGGTGACTCTGAGACCCCTATAAGTTGCCTTACTGACAGGATTCATCAATAAATAGACACAGTAGATACAGGAGTCAGCTGATTATAATTCTCAGAAAAGTACTCATGTTCAGCAGAGAGAAATTTATGTTGATAGCAATGGTAGTGTCCAGTTAACCTCTCTATACATAAGTATCTGGTTTTTTTTACAGAAGCCATTTTTTAAGTGGTTTTGGGGTTTTCTTTTCTATTTTGTTGGTAGGTCACAGAATAAAGATTTGAGGTCCTTTACACTGCTTTAAAACATAACAAATCATCTTTATAGGCAAAAAGATCTTGATGTATTGTTAGATTTTGAGGAATAGAACCAAAATAGTGCAAATCTGTTTTCTGATTTCCCTGGGCTTGGTACTGGCTCCTGGACATTTACATCTTAATTTCTTCCACTCAGATGTGTTATTTGATTTGAGTGTTTGTGAAAGCTACCAATCTGACAGTCCTGCAGACCAAAGCTTTCCATTTATTCACCTGTTAAGTAAAAAGTTTGAGTTTCTTTCTCCAATTAAAGTGCCTCTACCCATGCTGGCCAGACCACCTCGAGGGAGGAATCATTTAGATTCCAACCACACACTTTCCCCTGCCTTGCTCTTGCAAATGCCAGCAAGAAGCTGACTTGTGCCAGCTGTTGCATATTTCTAATGGGCACACTTGTCTATAGGGAATAAAGCGATCAGATAACTTCTAGAAGATAACAATTTCAGGTTACTACTAGTCTGGGCTGGATTTGAACTGATACTCTAGAAGGAAATTATTCTCACCCATTACTACTCCAGATATGCTTTGGAGTTTCTGTGTGGGTCTAAGAAATATCTTAATGGAAGTGGATCTATTTTTATAATATAGCTGCAAACAATTAAGTGAATTATCTGAATTTCAGGCTGTATTAACTGCACTGTGATGTGGTTTATACTTAATGAATAAGGAAGGTAGATCATATTATAAATGCAATACATGTATATTACACCTAGTGCACATTTATCGAAACAGTGTCAGGTTTTGAAACAGCTTACATTAACTCTGCATCTGTGCTGTGAATCCAGGAAGAAGTTGAGGTTTGCTCAGCTAAATCCTTTTTCGTGGTCTTGGCATCTGAGAAGGAGTTTGTCACCGATATGTTTACTTTTATCACCCTGTTTCATATTTCTGAAAAGGACATAAATGAGAACAGATTGTTTCTAAAGTAACGGAAGGAGCAACGCAGAGAAAATAATGATGAGCATGTTCCAGTTGGATAGATTACGGGAGAAGTACAAAACCTCCAGGTTCTCATTTTCCCACAAGACAGTCAATTCTGACACTTTAATATGGATGCATGGGTATGCCAAAGGGAGAGCAAGGAGGTGTTTCGTTCCTATCTGTTGTTCCAGCTCAATGGCTTTAGTACCACACACACTACTGGCACCATGATGTAGCAGCTGAATGAAGATCCTCACCATTTTGGGGAGAAGGTGGAAGGGGATGTGGTTCATTCACCAGAAGCTGTGTTGAGCCTCTCATCTGTGCTGTTGCCACTCATTTAGGATGGAAAGGAGCTTGGCTACGACTTCAGTATGTTGTATGTGTCACTCTTGGTCCTTGGTGTGTGACCTACCAAGGAGGCTGAGCTTACTGTTCCTGTTGCAGAGGTTTATGTTTCTGAACTATTGATTTCTCTAGAGTTTTCCACTACTTTGAGTGCCCTGAAAAGCCACTATAAATTTTTTTGCTAGTAGAGAAAGTATGAGTGCTGCTAATGTGGGCTTTGGAAAAGTGTAGAGAAGGCAACGGGGGCAAATGCTCTCAGGAGCAAGGGGGATACATGCACTACGTAGCAGAAGCCTTGGAAACAGCTGGCAATTGCTGCTAATGGCATCATATATATTGACTGTCTGCAAGTTTAATCCAGACAGCCTTGTGGAACAATAGACCTTATTTTATTGAATCTGAACTGTGAACCTGGAAGAGAACTCACAGTAGATAAACAGAAAAGCAAAATGCCTCTATGCTTTTCTCTGTTTCAGTTTCATTCCTTCCTTCCTCAGCTGTTTGGGGTGGGTATTATTTGCTTCATGTGGTGTGTTTTTAAAGGACTGGTTAAAATCCTCCAAGTTTTACTTTGGTGAGTTTTTTTCTTCCACATCTTGTTCCTTTTCTGTCATTTCTCCTGTCTAAGACAACCAGCCTTAAGCCCTTGAAAAATAAATTCCAGCTCCTCTTGACAAACAACCCCCTGTTCTGCTTTGCCAGATGACTGATTGATCAGTTACCGGTACCCTTGGCCAGGCTGTCTCTTCTTCAGAACTGCCAGTTACTTCATCCAATGGTGCTTCCAAGTGAATGAGTGATCACCAGGCACTTGTGGCCTTCTCTTATTAGCCCTGTATTACTTTCTACTTCTACATAGATGAAGATACCCAGATAGACAAAACCTTCAATCAATTTACTGTTTGGAGTCTGACACACACAATGAGAGTCTGCAGTATTAAAGAAAACTCACAGGAGTTGAAACAGATTTCTCAGCTCATTATAGGACTAGATATTTGCACTTGGCTAGCACATGCTAGGTTGTTCTTATATCCAAGTCTCTCAGCTGGAACCTATCTATTTTTTTCTCATGTTAAGGCCTCCAGATTTATTATGGTGGTATTTTAGCCTGCTAGTAGACTGAAAGCAGTATGAGATACATTCATCACATGCAGGAGGGAAATTCTGTATATTGTAAGGATGACACCAGTTATTTTCTTCCTACCAGGCAGGAAGAACTAGACTTGCCAATTCCCTGATGTGCAGTGCTTTTCTGAGAGTTTAGAATTTTAAACTTCAAGCTTTAGACTAACAGGTCAGGTCAAAAAACTGACTAATACCCATCTTCAATCTGTGGAAGGGAAATTTTCACCATGGAAATATTTTTTCTCTGTTTTGTTAGATAGTTGCACTGTGCACTAAACACACCGTGTCTTTTGCTCCTTGCCCTTTCCTGGAGTGTGCATTGAGGAGTTCAGGCAACTATTTAAATCAAGTGAATTTTGGTTGAAAGTCTAGTCCCAGATGAGTTGCTCCCACACAAGAAGGGAAATGAGACAAGAAATAAAGAGAACCTGGCTTTGGCAAAATTCTAGTCACTATCTCACTTTCATAGATAGAGTTTGCCAGGAGGGCAACATACAAAATGAAGCCTAGACAAGAACTTGGCTATATCTTGTACCAGTGAGCTGTACCTCTGAGTTGTGTTTTGATGCTCTTTCCCTTTAGTTTTCCTTTTTTTTTATCCTGTGAAGACCCTACGGACCAAGGCAAATATCTTAGACAGAGAAGCAGACCAATCCACAGGAAATACCCCAGAAAACATTTTGAGGTTATGTTTAGGATATTTGTAGCTAGACTAGACAACATGTTAATGAACACTGTGAGGGTCTTGTTTGGGGCAGGCATTTCTAAATATGCTTAGAAGATTGAGAAGCTTTGGGTGGTCAACCCAAATAGTTTTGTGGACTATTGCATCCCATTGACCAGTTTAGCATTTCTGGATTCTGTTACAGTGCATATGTCACTTATATCCACCTACATCCACCATGACCCTCAAAGCAGGTGGCAACTCACTAACAAAATCAGCAGGCAGTATGGCACCCTTTGGTTTATTTCCAGCTCAGCTTCTAATTTTGAAGAAAAAAAAAAAAAAAAAAAAAAAAAAATTAATCTTGTATCCTTCTCAAAAATAATTGTTCATAGTTCTCCTTGTTTGTCAGGAACCCTACTTTCATTCTCAGCAAGTAGCCTCCTGTTATGTGGATAATGTGCAGATGGTCATTCTTTCACCTTTAGATCCTATGATGGACAGATTTGTTAACTGGCAGTCCTTCTCAACGTGCAAAGCATTCTGCCAAAGGCATTCATTTCTTGGAAGAAATTAACAGAGTGGATCTATTTGCATAGATTCTTAGTTTTACTGTCCCCAGCCATCTCGGTGTTACAACACAGAAACCTAATGGAAAGTTAAGGCTGTGTGGAGTAATTAGAAAAGCCATCTTATATCTTTATTTCTGCCTGGCATGTGTAACTGAAGGTCAGGTACTGTAATTTTTAATTTTACAACTATAAACACTGAGTTTGGAAAAGGATAACTTGTTTATTTCTCTTTTGGTAAAGCATGGGTAAATATATTCATGACACTAAAACATTTGCATTATTAAAGCATTTGAATGAACTTGAACAAATTGCTAATCTGAAAAGATTATCATTATTTTTGTCCAGACATGAATAAATAACTTTTTTTCAGCGTCTGTAAGCTTAGATGGTCCATTTGCCCTTGTGTACTTGTAAATTCATATATCAATTGAGTCACCTGGATCAAAGCCATGTTTTAATAAGGCATAAAAGAAACAAAATATATCTAGATTAAATATATCCACTTTCTCTACGGGAACTACAAAAATAGTCATAACTTATTTTACTTCTTAAAAAAAAAAAAAAGCTGACCCTTCATTTGTTTGGACAAACTGAAATGGTTGTTAACCATCTTCAGTGACCTTTCTCTTAGCTGACAGTTGGTTTGTGACAGATGAAGCTGAGTAATCGGCCGACTGTGATAAAAACAAAAGCCAGGTACCTAATGCAGTCTGGTTTTGAACTATCATTTGTGATACATCTGGATTTGTTATGAAAGCTTCAGCATTTTGAATATTTCTGCCTTTCTGTACAGACATTGAAAAATTGTTCAAGCCTATTTCTTAGGAAATGTATATTTCAATTCTGAATTTACAGAGCTGGATTTAATAACATGCTCATTTGCCATTTTCCTAGAAATTTCCCTTTTCTGTGGTAGCTTTGGGAATTCCAAATACCTCCAGTGTGAAGCATTTCCCTATAGCAAACCAACATTTGAAGGAGCTGACATAAAAATGTCCAACTTTCATTTGAGATGCTGTCTTTGTTGTTGAAACAAAGAGAGACAAGAAACACTAGTTGGAACATGGGAAATTATGACTAGATGCTAAGAACAAAAAAAAAAATCAGAGAGAGAGTGATCAAACACTGGAACAGCTTGTCCGGTGATGTTTCATGATTTTCACCCCTGGAGAAACTCAACAGAATATGGCCTTGAGCAAGTTGACATAAGTTGTCCCTGCTTTTGGAACAGCAACAGGAGCAGAACTAGGTGACAGCTAGAAGTCCCTTCCAACTTGAATTATTCTATAATTCAGAGCCTGTCATATGAAAGATGACAGCAAAGTATTGTCTACAATCATTGTCAGTTCTCAGATTTTAGATTCAAGATATTATTATCTTTGTGGGTATATAAATTGCCTTGAATTCTCCAGCAAAAAGATGCCACCACTTCTATGTCACAGACCTACAACCTTGGAAATCTGTTCTTCATCTAGCAGGTTCTTGTTCTAGCAGGAACAATCCTGACTAGGTTTGTGAGTTTTGTCTTGGCGGGATATTAGGATTAGATTGTGCCTGAAAACAGAAGAGAGAAGTGAAATATTCTCCCTTACGTTTCTTCTGAATGCATAACCAGAAGTATATTTCATATATAATGTGTATATATATATATAATGTATGAAATTCAATTACTGTTAATTACTGTTAACTGATTTGAAAATTAAGGGGGCTTTGGAAGTCAAAGCAGTGATAATGAAACAACTGTTCATGCCTTTCTGTGATGTGCAGTGAAAGAATCAAAAGTGGTCTGGGGGAGATAGATGTACTTACCATGTTACGCAACTGGTGGGTGGTGCCTGCTGCAGGCAATAGTGAAAATGCCTCAGCAAGTGAACAAGGGAACATATAGATTAATATCTCATTTGAAAGACAATTAAAATTTTTTTTATTGTTTTCCTTCTCTGCTGTCTTTTAAAGTTGTTGAGCATGTTGGAAACATTTGATTTGGTATACTTCCTTGGATAAGGAAATTGATAAAGATAGTATGGGTGAAGGAATGAGAAACATAACCATCAACATTTATCTGATCTCCCAGTTTCACTTGGTTAACAAAGTTCCCTTTAGAACAGACGGAATGAAGAAAACCCGTGAACTCTGTCTGACTGTACTGACAAATATTTTTTATTGCTATATTCTGCCTTTCTTTCTGACCATACATTCTATTAAGCCAAAGGTTATAGATAATACAGTAGCTGGAGGCCTCCTGATCCATGGTTTAATGGTACTAAAGATCAAGACTTCCCATCTTCCCACATATTTTTTAAAAGAAGACATGGAGTTCTTGGAGCTTCTAAGAAGAGAATAAAATAAAAGAATTTCAGCTTCTGGGCAGCAGCACCACACGTATAGTTACTAGTTTAACCAGTTTCAGGACTGCCTAGTGAGCATGGATTAGTAGACCAAATATACACGACAACTAATGACTGCTATCATTCTTTCATGAAAGTCAGCACTATCACAGACAAATCAAAGAAAACTAGAACTAATGCACAGAAATACTTCGCAGGAAGAAGAGATCCAGATTGCTAGGACTGTCATATTTCCAACAGGCAAAAGTGGAGAAGTAGAAAGGACGGGGCATGGTAGTCCTGTGTAGTGGCAGGCTACGATCCTTGTCTCCCATTTATACTTTACAACATGTTTCCCACTCAGGGATGAGACACAGGAGCCTGCTATAAGAAAAACAATTGTTCTGACCTTATCCATATAGCATAACATGGAAGAAAAAGAGAATTTCAAGCAGCCTGGATCATCAGAAAATCATGCCTTTCATGGGGGTAAACCAATAATCTGCAAATTATCCCTGCATCCAGATTTGACCATTAGTGAGAAAGAGATGACGTGTCAGAATAACATTTTCTATGCTACTGATCATGTAAATAAAATTCTGGCCAGTGTTTGTCTAAACCAATAGCTAACATCGGCCATCACAATAGTTGGTTGATTGGAGAAGAGTAGTGTTGTACTGTGCCTTATTGCCTCCAACTTCTTGCCTACCTTCTTTCTTTTCTAACCCAAGACTGCTACTTCTCAGCTCTTTCCCATGGTGCAAACACAGATCAGGATTTTCTTGTTAGCTTAGATGTTTCATCTGAATTGTGCCAGTGAGATCTTTCACAGGGGTTAAGAAGGACAAAAGTAATGAAAAAATTTTAAAAAAAGGATATAGGTATTATAATTTGTCTTGGATATAGCTATAGTTAAGATCAGTTAAGATCTTCCACCAGATGAGTGTTCTGTAGGCCCATTGAAAGCATATAAAGATGATGCAGCACAAAGATGATTTGCTCCTATATATCCGAGAACTTCCAAGTCTTCCCTGGTCATCTTGTTATCTGGAAGATGCTGGAAAGGTTGGAAGATGCTGAAGATCAGTACCTAGCCATTTCCATTCATGTTTCTTCTTAGCAATGGAAAGACTAAGCAAAATTATCACTGTGACATGATTATGCAAAACGAGGCGCAGAGCAAGTATCCCACATATCAAAATAGTGACAGTATATAAGCCATTACTAGTTTACTTTGAAAACAACTCATGTTTTTTTCATATTGTAGACTTAACACAGTTCCTAATTTAAGAAATTTGACTTAAACTATCATGGTAATAGGAGTTATTTCACTGAGGAACAAAATCAAGGGATGAGCTAGCAGGCTCCTGCAGCTCCTGGGCTAACAGCTCTGGTTCTGTTTGCAGTTTTGATAGCAGGCTAAAATACAGCAGTGGATCTGTGAACCTTGCTGCTCAAAAGTTAATCTGAATACATTTTCCAGTTTGGTTACCTCTTAGTTTTTTAAATTTTTGTACTGAGTTTACTTTACACTGTTTAATACTAGCAATAGTAATTGATAAAAAAATACAATTCCTTGTTTATTTTTTCTGACTCAATTATCTCCTGGCTGAGTTCCTGTGTTTCTTGCTTTTCATTATATGAGTCAGTCTTACAAAGGCAATTGTTCCACTAGGAAGATAAGGTGAAAAGGCAACTGAAATAATACAATGTGTCATCAAAATAAAATGTGGTACAATTTTAGTTTATTGTTACTGAGGGAATTCTATTTCAGTATCTTTCCCTCTGTGCCCAAAAGTAAGATAAACTAGTGAGCATTGATACTTCTGCTCAGAAATGTTCAGTTATATAACATACTGGCATATATCTGTTGTTTATACAAGAGAAACCCAAAATTTACTCCCTGTAGACGAAAGACCATTAGCCTTTAAACTTTCATTACTTCTAGATTCATGATATCCTGAAGATAAAAACTTATATTCTTTTCCAAGAAAAAAAGCCTTGAGTCTCTAGCAAAAGATGCACAGTATAGAAATTTTAAAATTTGCCTCTGTTGAAGCTTTAATATGCTTTTGTTGCTGCTATGTGGAATTAAGTATATTTCTTGAAGCTTTGTAATGGTCAATTAACTTGGGTGATAAACAGAAAAAAACATCTCTTTGTGGAAGTAGTACTCAGTAGTTACTCCTGTTACTACAGGTCTATTCTGTGTAGCTGCCAGAGACCACAATTAGGGTTTGAGGGTCTGTTGCTTTTGACTGTAAAGTTACAAGGGAAGATTAGCAATCTTTCTGCCACAAACTCAATACCTGAGCTGAGATAAACTGAATTAGTAAGTGTAAGTAATCACAGGAAACAGGAGACAAGTGTGAGGTAAAGTGCTTTCTTTTACCAATCTTTTGACAACTTCTCTCAGACTTTCCATAAAATGTCTACAAAGTCAAAAGACAAAAAGCAAATTAATTGGACTCGAATCCAGAAAGTGTACTTTGATTTCTGCAATGAGGAATGTTTTTCAAGACTCAGTATTGGCTCCTCAGTATTCTGGAGTCAAGCAGAAATGATCCCTCACTTTTTTTTTTTTTTTCCTGTTTATTTTTTAAACTAGGTATCTTATAGAAACACAAACTAATGAGGAAAACATAATTTCATGAAACACCACTCACTGAACAGAGACCTGGATCTCAAAAGACTTAATAGATGTTGTATTAGATGAGAAGGGAGAGAACAGTCATCTAAGCAAAGTAATTAAAAGGTAAAGTAAAAGTAAGTAGTTATCAAAGAAGAAATACTTTATTGTTCATTATTTTCACAAAGGCTGCTTCAGTCAATTGTCATAAAGCTTTTTCAGTATTGAATTTTATGTTGGCAACTTAAAGCATTGCAAACCTTGAAAAAATCCCTATGCAGGACTAACTTCCATGCTCACTATGCACTGAACCATCATGACAGAGATAAGAACTTGACTGATTACCCCCCGATGATGGGTCCAGTTCTGTTACATTCAGATCAGCATAAATTTAGAATTGTTCAGTTGAGGTAAAGAAGTTACTTTAAATTGATACTGAAGTCATTCAGAGCAAGCCCTTATTCAAATAGGGCATACATAATGCCATGTACTGAATACAGACATAAATGCAGGGCTTCACTCACTGAGCAGTGAATAAAAATATGTATTTAATATATTGGTTAACTAACAACTACTTAGATTTGTTTAATATTCTGTCCATTGATAAATAACATTTGCGTTGGCAGCAACTGTACTCCTTGCTGTCTTGCTCTGTGTTGCTGTGATGATTATTATTTCAAAGCAAGAGTCAGTCTTTTTCCCTTCATTGAAGAGATACCATCCACCATATGAGTTGTGGATTTTATCTGAAGCATACTGAAGTCCATTGGAAAAACTCCTGTGGCCTTCAGTGAACTTTTAGATCCGTCTCTGAACAGAACTGGGTTCTTGTGGAAAATAATGGCATGTGACCTTGTCAGTATGTCTGAATATATAATGCCTGTGCATAGGGGCATATTTGAAGGAATCACAAAATGTCAGAATGGCTGAAGGTGGAAGAGACCCCTGGAGATCAACCCCTCTTGTCAGAGAAGGGTCAATTAGAGCATGTTTCCCCAGGGCCATGTTGGAGCATAACTCTATTTCTTTTGTTTTAAATGACCGACTTTCCCAATTTAATGTTCTCTTACATAAAACTCTGTATTACATTTTAATCTGTAATTAGGGGATCATTTGCCAGTCTTCTGTGGCCTCTTATCAAGAGAGTG